TGTCTTATCAAACTCACTCTTAGTAAACTTCTGACTCAGAAACCTGCCTAGGTAATAAAAATACCTTGTCGATCTTTCGACACCAATCTTCTTCACAATATGCTCTTTCAACTCACACAAATTAATCCTCTGATCTTGAGAACGTTGCATGATTACTCTTACTTCAAATTCTTCTACAGTGGGAGAGTGCAGAGACGCACTCTCTGATTCTCCTTCACACAAACAAATCTAAACTCCTTCAAATGCAAATTGATTTTTGTATCTGAAGAAGAACTTGCCCTTTTTAGCAATTCCCAAATCCATACAATGCAAAGCCAAATCTCATCTTCCTTAGAACCAAAACCCTAAAAGATCATAATCCACAGACCAACTCAAACAAAAGCCCTCAAATTTCAAACCTTCTGATTCAGTATTAAAAACCCTAACTTTGAGGTCACCAAAATCATACCCTCTGAAAGAAGAAACGAGCCTCTCGCCAACTTCACGAAACTGCACCAGCAAAGAAAGACCCAACATTGTCAATCCCAATTCAAAAGCAAAACAATTTGAAATTTTCGATATTTAATACAAGTAAATCGAGATCAGTGAAGTTTGAAAAGATCCAAGCTTTGGGAACAGAGCAAGGAAAAAACAAGGAATTGGGTATCAAAACAATGAAATTCGAATTGGAGAATGAGAGAATAAGGCAATGAGAAGCCAGACATAAGCTTATAAGCAGACAAAACAAGTGTTAAAAGATTGATTCGAGACCAAAGATTTGACCAGAATTTTTCAGACAACAACACGGGAGAGATAGAAGAAGTAAAAACTTCCGACCAACCTAAATGATGAATCTCTTGTTCGGTTCCTTAGTTCGTGTTCGATTATAAGAAACCCAAAAATCTTGGATTTGGCTTTCTCGTATTGCCGTCGGATTTGAATGTCTGAGCTTTTCGCTCTTCTGAGTTAAAGCTTCGATCGCTGCTTATTGGGTTTCCTAGTTTTTTTCTGTCTTTTTTTTTTTCTTCTTCTCTTTCTCTCTCTGCAAACGTGTTCTTTTTAATTGTTTGTTTAGTCTTAATTGAATCTAAATTATTCAATATTATATTGCCATTATTTTAGTTTTTATCATAATTAGAAACTTTTTTTTCTTTGGATAATTAATTTTTAAATTAATTTACTTAATAAGAGTTTGGCTTGATAGATTATGTTGATTAAAAAAAAGTTTGATTCATTTATGTTATATTGATATAAAAAGATTAAATTACATATTATTATGTTGGTTTATCGAAAATTATTATTACTATAACAGTTGTATGATGATTTTAAACATCAGCAAATTCTTAAAAATTTTGCAAACTAGCAGATTTTTTGAAGGAAAATTTTGAAAATTAGCATCATACATCTGGCCGCAGCGGAACAATGTCTTTCATAACGCTCAGAGAATTGCTCCACAAATCATCTTCAAGATCGTCGATCGCGAGATTCGCAACATCATCAGTTCTCGTCGCCACAGAAGGAGATGGCGCAAGCTGATCCTTTGGATCCGGTAGTTCTCTTTCTTCCTTGGTTCCCTTTGAGTTGTAGCCATGTTTTTTTTTTGGCTGCTTTTGTGTAGGTTTAACTTTTGTAAAACTTTAATCTTCATCTTAATGAAATTTACATGTTTAGCAAAAAAAAAAAAAAAATTAGCTGCATAAAATTTTTGAAGAAAATTTTTAAAACAATAAATCCTTGAAGAAAATTTTGAAACCATACATTGTTGTGGACAACATGATTAAGACGAAGACCTAAAAAAAACTAGTAAGATTATGAAGAAAAAAACTAAAAATTTACCAGGACTTATATAAGAGGTCGACCTTAAAAATCACTAGGATTATGTGTAAATCTTGAAAATCGGATAGTGTAAAAAATGGAGTCTGCAGAGACATGCCCAATAAAAAAACTAGAGATATTTGCATTTTGGGACACTTTTTGGAAAGTGTTTGTGCGTTTAGGCACTTTCCAAGATATAGATACTTTGCCAAGCTTAATTGTCCATAATGCTCTCAAACAGATTATCATATATTTCCAAACTGTTACTGGTTAGTAGCGATAATTCACCATCCCATTACCCCATCTTCTTTACTGTTTTCCGCACCCAGTAAAAACCCTAAATTCCTTCTTCTTTGTTTCCACTTCGACAACAATTTGAGATTCGGCGATGTTTTCGGTTACATTCCTCGTTTCCGGTTTAATTACTCGTAATATCCCTAGCATGGTTGATTTGGTATCCGATGACTCCACCTCATCCATGACTATCCTCCATTGGAAAAAGTTAACTCTGCCTAAACAGTCAATACCTCTTTCTCATATACTCGCCCTAGAACACAACCTTAAGGTATTTGTACTGAAAACAACTATTGTAACATATACATTCCATCATCTATACTCATATTACCTTTTTATTTACCCAGCTGCCAGTGGATCCGCTTATTTTTGATCAAGATCATGTTGACCAAAGTTGGGGGGAGTGGGATGATGAGGTAAAAGACAGGAAAGTTGCATACATGCATGAATTGATTATAAAGGCTCATCGATTCAACAAATCTGAATGGCCTGGTGGTAACGAGTCATTACCATTCATTTCAGTCCCTTCAAAGAAGCTGTTTGTTGTTCACAAAAAGCACATAGTGGATCGTAGGAAGAAACCAGCGGGACATAAATAAAAAAAAATAGACAACTACTGGTGAAGTCTCCCGCCACCATATCAAAACATAAGTATTCGACGTGTAGCCGGTCATATCCCAAACTCTGATGATGAAAAGTCCACTCTTTATGTTGAACTTGAAAACAAGGTTGCAGAGCTAACAAAACGTGTATTGAGGCTTGAAAACAAAAATAAAGTTTGCAAATTCACGCGCTCCAAAAAACTCTCTTCCATATTTGTTGCATATTCTTCTAGATCAAGGGGTAGGAAGCCCGTTAAGGAGCGTTCAGAATCCCTAACTACTGCTGCAGATATGCCCATTGAGGAATTAATATTTGACTCTACTCCATTCTAAAATTATGGTATCCCTCCCTTTTGATAAACATGTTATCTATTTGTACAGAATGAAAGTCGCACCAATGAATTTTCAACAGACCATCAATATTCAATTGATAAAAATGATGGAAGCCATATTTTTGTATCAACATGAACGCTAGGACAAACAGACGTACCTGGTAAAGTTGTACAAGAGACTTATTAAGATTTAGGACATACAGATTTGCAACTTGACTACCGTTTCCAATCATTAACTCATGAGTAAGGGCCTGAATGAAACATGCATCATAAGTAAAAATGACTTTACATTTCAGAGTTTTAGTCACAACACTCACGCTTAACAAATTAAATTTGAACCCAGTATTGTATAACACATTATGTAGAGACAAAGCATCAGTAAGTTGAATAAAACATGTGCCCTCTATTTTCACTGTTTGACCATTAGGCAATCAAACATAGGTTATATCTAAAGCTTTGTACTTTATATTCTACATAAGTTTCCCTTTCATGTGTGACATGATGACTAGCCTCTGAATCTATTACCCAAGCTCTATAAGACAACTCAGTTTCATGAGGTATAGATGAAGTTAACATGTTATACTAAGTAAAATCATCAAGAGAAAGAAATGTACCAGTTATATGTGAGATAAATGGTACATGATTAGAAGTCGATGATACAAGACTATGGTTAGGATGATTAGGGTAGACTTAGGACGTGTTAATTAATACGTTTTGGTGTTTTCTTTTTAATTTAAAAGCAATTACGTATTTCTTTTTGACATTAGGTTTAGGGTTGGTGATTTTCCTTTTTACCTTAGTTGTGTAAGGTCTATATAAAGACCTCTTATGATTAATAAAGAATTAAGTTCCAACAATTAACCTAATTCTCTAAGAGAGAGTTGGGTTAAAGGGAAACTTTTGCTTAAAAAACTTTGGTCCATAACAGTCGAAGCTATAGCCTTATCAGGGGATAGAGAGACGCTACTAGACTGAAGTTTGGAGCTTAGATAAGAGATCATCTGTTGGAGTTGATTCTTAGACATACCGTCATTCTTCTCTTCAGGACAATTCTCTTTATGTGACAACATCGAATCTGAATTGGTCAAATTGGTACTTCCCACATAATTATTCTTCTTAGCCCTTGGATGACCACGTGGATAGCCATGAACTTTATAGCACTTATCCACTGTATGACCAACACGGAAGCAATGAGAACACTTAGGCTTCTGAAAGTTCCCTTGTGCCAACAGAATAGGATTGTGTTCAGTGATAATAGCCTGAGCTTGAAAAGCTAAAGGAGGAGACAATGGTCGTGAATACCCACAGTCTTGCTGATAGGCTCAAGAAACTGAACATGCTTAGGTGGAGTTTCGTCTACTTTCCTCAGAGCAGGAGATTCGTCCAAACTCGTACTTGGTTGCACATGCATCTCAAAGGCTGCCGACTGACTGGTACACACTGAAACGAATTTAATCTTCAAACTGTGTTCAACATTGCAGACAATTATCCACCAATAACTACAGTGCATACAACCAGGTGACCACTACGAAATTGATAATAATCGTAACAGGACGAAGTTAGATGATATGGCACCTAAAGACAGATCAAGACATAAGACACATAAAGAAGAACAGCACCTTATCTGGCCTATGACTAATCTGATACTTTTGAGAATTGAGATCATCATATTGCCCAGAGCGAACAGGAAGTTAGAAAATGTCAACAGGCAAGACTCAAGCGTCAAGTTTCATTGCCAAATTAAATCAAATACTTTTCAGCATGATCTACAAGTCAAGAGAAACCAGTCAGAGTCAAGAGTCATAGCCAAATCAAATCAAATAACTTGTCAGTGTGTTCTACGAGTCAAGAGCCAACACTCAGAGAGTCAAGAGTCACAGCCAAATTAAATCAAATAACTTGTAAGACTCCGTTTCAGCCAGGATCAACAGTCAGAGTCAAGAGTCATAGCCAAATTGAAAAGTTCACAAGATCAATGAAATAAACGAAAACGACTCCGTTTCAGCCAGGATCAAAGGTTCTTTCAACAAAGCCTCACAGCTCTTGACCCAAATCAAACTATAATGGATTGGAAAACGAAGAATCTATTTAGGAGCAGCAACATTTTAGGAACGAAACTGTAAAGAGGCTTCAGCTCAAAGATCAGGCATTCCCTTTCCTGTTTTAGCATCATATGTCTGCTCCCAGACATACTCCATTGGTGTGTCCTTGGGGCCAGCTGCAAAGAAAAAAAGTATTAATCCTTGTGCAAGAAAACCGCTACTGTGTTTATTCTATCGGATGATTATGTTGTTCTCAAATAGCTAACAGATATTCCACTACATATTTCCAAAATCCAATGTGTCATGTTTAGAGAGATGTTGAGCTTCTATGTACCAGTTGTGGGTCTTGGTGTAGCCCTTATCTTTAGAATCTCAGGGCGAGGAATGATGGAACCAGATGTGCCAGTGCCTCTGGCTACTCTTACTTTTGTTCCATCCTCTAGGTACTTGACACCAACCTTACAAGGTCTCCTGAGGTAGAAAAGATAACAGACAAATAAGAATACCATTGCTTGAGCAAAAGAAGAGTAATAGGAGACAGAAGTGCAGAGTGAGATCATCATACCCAGTGACTGGATCAACAACTTGGACATTAGAGGCGTGAAGAGGAGCCTCTACCGTGAAAATTCCACCTTCATGATCAGGGCCTCCTTTTATATGCTTCTTGATCTGCAAATACAGAAAAAAATATACACAAGCTGTAACAAAGAGAGTTTCAGTAAGTAGCCAAATACTATCCCAAAACGAAAAGAGTTGAACAATTCAAAACATTATGTTTATGTAGCTAACCCATGGAACTAGACCTGCTTTGTGATTTTTGTAACCGACCCATTGATGGTTGAAACTAGCGACAACAATGAAATGAAGATTGATAACTACATGATTGGTGTTGTGCTAGTGATATGATCTTGATTCAGTACTAGTTCACAAAAAGATATCCACAAGAAGACAATCTCACCAGATTCTTTCCTTCAACAATGACACGATTTTGGGATCGGATGACGCGCTTTATGGTTCCAGTCGCACCCTTATCTTTCCCACGAATTATCATTACCTACATAAAAAAATAATCAAACCCAAGAATGAATCACCACATCAAAAATGAAACCAAACTAATGAACACCACAAGAAGAAGTGAACAAAGTTAGTTGTCCTCTCTCACATTATCCCCTCGAAGTATCTTCCAGTGTCTGATGAGTTTCTCAGCAGCTTTCCAACCCATGGCTCCTCCTACTCACAACAAAGACAAAAATCAGCGTGAACTTGCAAAATCCCAGACTAATCTTAGTAAAGTTTCTACTAGTCGTGCATTGCACTAGACGAGAGCAATTACGTTTATCGATCCCTATAATAATAAATAGCGATCTACTTTGCGAGTGACAACAAACCTTGGAAAATGGAGAAAACTGATGACTCTTGAAGGGGACCAAACGATCTCCGACGAAGGAAGGAAGGATGGAGCCTCTAAAGAGAGGAGAGGTTTCGGGTTTTAGGTTTTCGATGGGTTTCCTTTTCTTTATCTTAAAGGCCCAGCCCAGGTGTATCACTCATTCACTCAAATTTATTAGATTTTAATTTTCATTAAAAGGCTAAAAGCTTAAAACTTTACATAATCAGTTTTAATTTACCATTTCAATTAACTAATCTAAAATTACAACTATGTATTTACAACATAATTTCCATAAACCTTTTATTGTAAATTGCTAGTTATACTCGATAAAGTTTTTTTTTACATATTTGTGAATTTTAGCTTAGACTGTGTAATGTTGCTGAATCGTGTCAATGTCAAGTCCTTTAAGCTTCACAACTGACTCTACGTGCCCTTTTAATGTATTTATCTCTCTCAGCCTGCACAGATCATCAAACCTCATCATTTAACAAAAACTTTTGGAATAACCGAAAAAGAAAATCGATTTTCCGACTAAGATCAAGTTTTGGTTAATGGTATGAAGTCGGAGAAGTTAAGACAGGCGAGAATCGGGTTGAGCTCATGTACATATGGAGTTATTAGAGCTTTGAATTGATGGTGTGAAGAGTATAGATTAGTTTCTTTACCTGACAACCTCAGCTCGCCGTTTAGCCTGTTCAGCAATCTGAGAAAGCTCACTGTAACTATTCTTTTCGTTAAAGATGTTGTTTGTATCTGCTGGTTGAAGTCCATGGAGAGTTCTTTGAGCTGCAGCCCATTGAGCTTCTCTTTCCTCTTTCCCATAGTCTTTCTTCGTCGTGAAGGCAGTCTGATTTGTTTTGTACATAGAAAACAACAGATAAATATTAAAAGATTTGTAGGTTACTCTGGGATTTTCGGTATTGGTATCGCTACCTTGTTCTCAAGAAGGTTTAACCAAGCTTTTCCACTCAAAACGTAGCGGATCCCAAACTTGAGTAAGTCAAGAGGGATGTACGTTATGACACTGTATAGCCAGATCACTCCAGCCCATCCCCAACCGGCTCCTTCTATCCGGGCAAAACTCCAGTTTGCATAAACTGCTATTAATGTCGCCACCTGAGATTGCATAGACCGCTATCAACTTCTTGTTCTGTTTTCATGAATGTTTTCAAAAGAGTTTAAGGAGAAGGAGAAGCATGTGTTATATTATATACATATGTGCATACCAGTTGAGCTATGATAAATGCACCAAGTAAGAGAAGACCAGGGCATTCGACATAGGACCAGCTACGGGATCTGGTGACGAAGATGAGAGCCTGACTTATGATGCTAACTTGTAGATACAGAGCAGCCATCATTTGTTCAGGACGTTGGCCCAGTGGTCTCACACCAAAGCAGTTCTACATAACCCCAAAAGAGTTTAGCTTTTTTAACTGGCCTAGAGCAGCAATTGAGAATAAGAGTATATACCGAGAAAAAATCACTGTCTTTCATCACCCAGAAGAAAACGACTGTCATCAAGGCCTGGTAGCCTCCAAGCACGACGCCGGTCGAGAAGATTTCTCTGAGTTTCCAGCTATCTGGCTGTGGAGATGGCTTCAGCCTGTCCTTTGATATTGTCATGATTGTTCCTATAAGTAGCAATGCTTCTGTTAGTTTTATCAACGGTTAACTATTATATGCAGTTAAACTCTATAATGTGACCTCACCGTCGTTTAAGATTGCTATGATCAGAACCATGAAAGGCGAAAAATCGAACTGCCATATGAGAGCAATGAACATGAAGCCAAACTGCACACGTGCAATAACTTTACATTAGGATTAAAACCATTTAAACCAGATGAAATCTCGTGAGACCTACTCAGTACACTTACCACAATACGTATCGTGACTGAAACCGCATAAATCTACACAGAGAGACGACGTCAAGATTGGCGTTAGTGAGTCTGCGAGTAGGCCGAAAAATTGAATGAGAAGAATTTTTAACTCACAGTGTAGTTTTTCATTCTTTGGAATATGGCTCTACTGGTGAGCACTGCACTAATGATAACGCTCAATCCAGGTTCTGTGAGAACGATATCGGAAGCGCCTCTCGCAGCATCAGTAGCATCAGCAACAGCTATACCAATATCCGCCTTCTTGAGAGCCGGGGCATCATTCACACCATCTCCAGTAATACCACATATGTGCTTCCTTTGTTGAAGCCTACTAACAATCTCATACTTATGTTCTGTTTCCGTGCACCAGAGAATCTATCAATAAGAATCTGGACACGAACTAGAACGCATGGTTAAGAATATAGCCTTCTATTAAAGTCTATATACCTGGAAAGACTCCAGCAAACCCATCAGCCTTCTCTATCAGTTCATCCACAGGAAGTGCACCCAAGGAAGAATCTTTGTCTTGTCCAAGCAGCGCAGAAGAAGGATACATGTTCGTACCCATTCCAAGCCTTCGACCGGTTTCTTTCCCGATTGCAAGCTGGTCCCCTGGTTTCAATCAGAAGAGAAAACTAGTTTCAAGCAAAATGAAGTGCAGAGAGACAAGGACTAACTCAGAAGAACTGTATGATTCTTACCGGTTATCATCTTAACATTCACACCGAGGTTTAGAGCCCTCCTGATTGTCTCGGCACTGTCATGCCTCGGAGGATCAAAAAGAGGTAAAAGACCTACAAGTTGCCATGGGCCACCAGGAGCATCTTTCTTCTTCTCAGGAACTTCCTGCACCAGTAAAATCGATATGAATCACGACAAAGAAACAAGGACACAGAAACTTCACGATATATAGTAACCGAAAACTAAACCTGTCTTGCAACAGCCAAAGATCGAAGTCCACGCTCAGCAAACTTATCAATCACTCCATGAACTTTCCTCCTAACATCTTCCTTGCAATTGCAGAGGTTCAGTATCTGTTAACAACGGTACATAAAGATCATCAGCAAAACCAATGACTTGAGCTGAGTAACATATAAAACATAGAAAAAGCGAGTTCATCAATACCTGCTCTGGAGCTCCTTTACTAGCTCTATGCCAGTTTCCATCAGAGTCAATATACGTCAAAGCAGTTCTCTTATCAACCGGATTAAAAGGAAAAAAATGAACCTCTCTAACACCAGCTCTAGCCTCTTTAGGATCAGCAAGCATTCCAACAATAGCTGCATCAATCGCATCTTGATTCCCAATCCTCGAAGCTCTCGCAGCCAAAAGGAAAACATGTTCTTTACCAACTCCTTTCGCGAAAACCTCGACTAAATTTCTATCAACCGTAAGCTTATTAAGCGTAAGAGTTCCAGTCTTATCACAACACAAAACATCCATACCAGCCATTTCCTCAATTGCAGTCATTCTCTTAGTAATAGCTCCTTGTTGAGACAATCTATGAGAACCAATCGCCATTGTAACAGATAACACACTAGGCATAGCTATAGGAATCCCTCCGATCAACAAAACAAGCAAATTATCGATTCCGTCTCGATATCTCCGGCGTTGAATCGGATACATTACTAAAAGCTCAACGATGATTCCTAAAGCAATCGAACAGATACAGAAGTTACCAATCGAAGTGAGAACTTTCTGGAAATGGCCGATTTGGTTTTTGTTGTCGACGAGATGAGCTGCTTTGCCGAAGAATGTGTGGACTCCGGTGGCGATGACGATTGCTTCGATTTCGCCTTGTTTGCAAATTGAGCCGGAGAAGACTTCATCGCCGGGGTTTTTTGTGACGGGGATTGATTCGCCGGTGAGAGATGATTGATCGATTTTGAGAGGATCGCCGTCGAGTAAACGTGCGTCGGCGGGAATGATATCGCCGAGCTTGATGCTGATTACGTCTCCGGGGACGAGAATCGATGCTTCTTGCTCGCTCCATTGATTATCTCTGAGAACCTTCACTCATAACCAAAACAGAAACCAACTGTTTGTGATAATATACCAATTTTTTTTTTTTTGGACAGAATAATATACCAATTTTCATGTCTTCAAATTACAGTATTTATCATTTTTATACGATTTTTTTTTCCAAAATGATTTCATTATATATCAGGTTTTTTTTCATCTAACTAAAAGTTAAATAGAGGCCATGAATGTTTGGTAGTTTTTTTGTTGGTTTTTAGATTCTAGTTTTTGGTAACAATACCGTCGCAAATCTGCTCCTCGACATTCGTTTTTGGAAGTCAAAGTTTCTTAATATTCAATTTAGTTTTATTAAAAGGGAGGGTAATCAAGCGGCGCATAATCTTGCTAAATTTGGATGTGTTTCTTCTTCTTTTTATGCTGAATCTGTATCCCAGCCTCTGTGGCTTGAAGAACAAGTTTGTAACGACATTATTCAGTTAATATAATTTCTGTTTTGACGAAAAAAAAAAAAGATTCTAGTTTTTGGATTTTGGTTTTTGGTTTTTGATTTTTTTGGTTTTTGATTTTTGGTGTAGATTTTAGTTTTTGCAAAATCTTGAATGATAATTTGTTTAGTTTTTATTTTTTCTACATAATATTAATTTTTAAACGTTTTTAAGTTATATATTTTAATTTTTGGTTATATTTTGTGTTTAAAAATTACTAAAATATTGAAAATAAAAATTTGAATAATAAAAAAAGAATTGAAAAAAAAGTGACGTAAATTGTTGGAAAAACCCACAAAAGTTGGTTTTTGGATTCCATGAACAAATAGCTAAAATCTGCTAAAAACTGGTTTCCCTAATTTTTAGGGAATCTATTTTTTGTTGAATCATGAATGGTTAATTTTTAGATTTTTGCAAAATCATAATATAGAAACTGGTCCAAAAACTGGTTCCATTCAAGGCCAGATAGAAAGAAAAAAAAAAAAAAAAAAAAAAACTAGATGTGATTAGTGTTCAAAAGTTGAAATTTTAACGTATAGAACTATTTTCATAATTATATTTAGGTAAAGTATTGTTTGACGTCATTCAACTATTCCATCATTCCTATAAAATTCTTGAATACAAATATAATGCTTATATGATTGAAATTTTTCAATGAAAAAAAAAATCATATCTAACAAATTCTTTTCATTATGACCATAAAGTTTAGGAATTAGTCAATGTTCAAAAAAGCGATTTAAGTACGTAGGAGATGACTCAGTGCCTAGCGATTAAAACGCCTAATCGGGACATAAGCAATTTTTAGCGGTTTAGGCGTATCAACCATTAGTTTCATTGAAATTTCAATCCTATAACTATAAGCATTAGATTAGTCAGTGTTGTTAATAATTTCTTATGAAAAATACAACTTTTTTTTTTTTATAAGAAGAAAAATACAACTTATAAAATTATAAATTGTACCATTCGGCTTATCAAAAGAAAAGAAAAAACAACAGTTTAGTTTTCGATTAATAGTTGAGTTGCTGCTATATATAGAATATGTTTATAGGCAATTAAAAGAAGTTAATTGGTTAACCTTTGTCTTGGGGGCTAGACCGGCCATGAGAGCAACTGCAGCATTACCGGCATTCTTTTCCTCAATGAAACTAACGGTTGAGTTGATGAATAGTAAACACACTATCCCCACAAAGTCTTGCCAATCCGGTGGCCGTCCTCCTCCGTTCGCCAAAGCGATCGCCATGAGCGCTGCAGCCTCCATCACCCACGACAATGGGTTCCACATGAACCCTAAAAACTTTAATAACTTGCTTTCCTGCGTGTTACACCAATCACAACATTAAAGTAGTTTCATTAATGATTCGTTACAAAGCAAAAAAAAAGATTAAGAATAAACCTTCTTCTCTTCAAGCTTGTTGGGACCAAAAAGGTCAAGACGGTGAGAAGCTTCATCTGCCGTAAGACCTTGTTTTGTACATTTCAGCTCCTCGAACACTTCCTCCATGGGTATTCGTACCTGTATGTACCCATCATTTATGTTATTATTTAATATTCAGTTTTGACTCATTTCTAATGGAAACACAAACACTAGTATATATATCGTATGGGGAAAATAATGCCAAAAATTACAGTCGTTACCAATCGCCCCTCATCGAATTAGTTAACGCATGTTACTATACATATAACTTATACGTAACATAAAATTTAGAATCAGTAGGGCTAGATACTATAAAACTAAGAAGACATATATATATATACCAGATCAACGGATTCATTATTGATGTGGTCGAGTTCGCTGCCTTTACCGGCGGCAGCGGCCATAGTGACGCCGGGAAGGAAGAGAGTGAAGAAGAAGAAAAGAAAAAAAAACAGGTTTAGGATAGTTATGAGGAGAAGATGAAAGTGGAGAAATATGACAACCTTAGGTCTTTATAGCGTACATGAACATTAATTAGTATTAAAACTTCAAAAGACGTCACGAAAATGTGAAAGTGTGAAATTGGACTTTAATGAGGAAGACTTGTCTATGTGTGCGCACTTTTGGTAAATATATCGACCGGTTCACGAGTTCACTTCCTTTTTTCATTTCCATTTCCTACGTATATTGTTTCTACTGTACTATTATTTTGTTGTGTTTGGATTTTCTTCTTTCAACATTTTTGGTCTGGTACTCATTTATATGCAATTTTTTTTGTGAGTGATTTGTTATTTTGGATTTAAATGTTTTGCGTAAGATGTATATTCTTATACAAGGAAGTGAAATCCCTAGGAAAAGGTAAACTGAGAGTTGAAAATGAGTCCAACGTAAGTTATTTAATTTTTTCTTAATGACTAACATGATAAGGTATCATGATTAAATGATGAAATATAGGTTCGACCATACTAGAAATTAGAGAGATAATAACTTCACGAGAAAAAAGGGAGATCGAACTTTGTCTTTGCCATGTGAATCGAAAAAGGCGATGGATGCTCGTGGGTCGTGGCAATGCAAAATCATCTTCCCCTCGGTTTCTTCTATTGTATTTATTTTTTTGGCCATTCTTCTTCTCTATACGTCGACGGCCATGTGGAGATCAAATGTCTTTAAGTCTTGGATCGTTCCCATTTTTTATTTTTAACAAAGAAGTTCCAAATCAAAGCTTATTATATACTCGAGCGGAGAACAAAAAAAATGTTAAATTAGTTTCATTTCCGTCGCCCATGTTCTTATTCGTGACTCTGACGATTTTTTTTTCTTGAATTTAAATTAGTTTCATCGAATCTGATTTTTTTCTTTCTCTATGTTAGGAATGGTATGGTCAAAAAATCTATTCATGATGGTGATGCCTAAGGCTAACATTAACAAAACCAATAGAAGGGAGTCAAGGGACATATAAGACATCTTCTTGAATTCATCGACATTACTACAAACTAACTAAAACCCTCCTCCCAATTCCCAAATGACTTCTCTAAGTTAACTAGTTAAGAATCCCATTATCTAAATTTAAAGCCACTTATCTTTCTCTTTTTCATTAACATTTATTTATGTAAAGTACTGTGAAATTATGTTTTTGGTTTAATATCTAGTACTATTCATATTAAAGTATTTTACTAAAAAGAAACATAATACGCTACCTCCTTCTTGAAGAGAGAGACATGAATTGTGAATGTTGTGTCGGATTTAGAACTCTGATTTTATAATGAATCTCTAGATGTCAAAACAATATTCTGCAGATGTGCTAAAATGTTTTAAATTAAAAATAATGCTATAGAAATATCATGCAATATCACAATCTTTGAATTTTTAAATAAGCTTACAAATTAAATTTCAAATATTTTAATAATTTATATTATACAAATAAAGTTGCATTCACGTTATTCATAAATTTAGGTTTATGATATGTTGCGTTTTTGGTGTCTTAAATCTTTGACTAGTCCTTGTTTTGAGTCGTTTGTCGCATCGTTATCCGTCTTGTGCGTCTTTTTAGTCTTGTCTTGAGTCTTTTATAGGGCATAGGTGCTTGAGCGGAATTTAGAGGTTTTCGAGCGTTATTGGGCTTGTTACTGGCCAAAAACGACCGAGAGAAGACGTGGTAGATACCAGTGAGTTAGTGACTGGCGATCGATCGATCTCAGGTGGGAATCAATCGATCCGGGAAGTGACGACGAAACGAGAACGACCAGTGATTGGGGATCGATCGACCTGAGAAGTGACGACGAAACAAGAATATACCAGTAGCTAGGGAACGATCGATCACAGGTGGGGATTGATTGATCCAACCCTCAGACGTCCGAGCCGGTTTTCCTTAACCGGATTTTACTTGTTGTTTTCTGTACTCGGGTATAAAATCCTAAAATCCTAATTTTCACATTCACGTTTTCTTTCTTCAACATTTGAGAGATTTTTCTTCTGTAAACAATACTTTAAATTAGAGATTCATCCTTGCGACAATTTGGAGAAGATTTCTAAAGGGAATTTGGTCAAAAATGCCACTTTGACCAAAAAACTTATAAGAAATGCCATAAAAAAAGTTTCTTTTTGAAATTGCCATAATTTTGAATTATTGTGATTTGAACTAACGAAATTACCCTTATGCTAAACAAGTGGGAAAATGAAAGACAAAAACTGTTATTCAAAAATTGTTGTCTACTAAACAAATTGGTAGACAAGATTTCGAATCAACAGATTTTTTAAAAAAGTTGAAGAACAAGAATTGTTGTCCACGTTTAATGCTACATATTTCACAAAAAATTGGTGGACAAGAATATTCAAGTTCGTGTCCACATTGAAACATTGAAATCAACAGATTTCAAACCATATATCCATACAAAATTCATTTAATCAACATATTTTTTTAAAAAATTGAGTCATTGAACTTACAAGAGAACAAATGTTGCCGAAAATTCCTGAAAAAATATTGTCTACAATAGTTTGTATACCTAAATTAAAACAAATTAGACATAAAATTAAAGTTGTCCACTGAATGTTACAGTTGTCCGTTAATGCTTAAAGTTGTCTACGAAATTAAAATCTGGTCTGTTTTCAATGAATCTATCGAGACTCGAGATGATTAACATAATGGTGAATTGTTTATTCCCAGCGAGATTCTTGACGGTGGCGTGTGAAGAGCGATTGGATCTATGTGAAAATGTGGAGTTCGAATTCAAGATCTAGATCTTTCTCAAAATTGAGAAGAAAGAGAGAGAATTGCTTTGCTTTTTCTTTCATTGCTTTGTGAGAAGAGGTTTTGAATCGGTGAAAAGATTGATAAAGCGGAAGAGAGTGATTAGATTCGAGAAAGTAAAGCCATTGTTGTTATAAATGTTGAAGAAGACAAAAACTGTGAAATGAAAAAGATGAAGATTGAAGAATTTTTTGAAGAAATGAGAGAGAATTTGGTTGAGGGGTAAATTGGTCATTTTAAATTGGAGTATGGCAATCTTAGAAAAGCAGAAACATTTGTGGCAATTTTGCTAAGTTTTTGAACATTGTATGGCACATTTGTTAAATTTCTCATTTCTAAACCCCATCTTTTATTTTATCAATTGAATCATGTTTTTTTTACATCAATTTTTGTTGTTTCTTTCTCTATGTGTGAGTAGTTCCTCAATTGGGTGTTAGGATTCCAAGTAGAAATTCAATGGATTAGTGAATAGATTGTTATAGAGAATTCTCCATCAATAGGTTCTTTGATTTACATGTTCATAATGCTAGAATATGATTGATCACCCTGTTTTAGAACATAAGTTTTTCTATGCATCAAAAGTGTTCGATTAAATGTCTGAATGAATATAAATTGAGCAATATATTTCTAACCAATGAAAATTGACGTTAGAACGCATTGTGAACGAAATGAACAAACTAGTTAATGCAAATTTGATTAGGAAACTACAAATGAAAGTTTAGTAGTTGAATAGCCGAATTTAGTGACTAATGTTTTGTGAATAGTCGAATTTAGTGACTAATGTCTTGAGAGAGAGTTAGTCTCGAATTATGTTCATAGTTGAAAATGGTTCTTCGTTTCTGAATTCCTTGTTTCGTTTATCCTGCTAGTCATTATCTTTGATATAGCCTAATGCCCTATGTCTTAAATTCATAAGTGTAATCGTTTTAATTTATTTGCATTTTTATTTACAATTCTGAAAACCCAAACAAACAACTTTTCGCTTTAGCTAAGAATGAGTATCGGAAATATTTAGTATGCCATTGGTTCTTGTGGATCGACCTCGAATATACTACCTAGCGGTTAAGTGTATCGAGTAATTACTCGAGCAATCAGTTTATAAATTTGCGGTTTAATTTAAAATTTAAAATATATGAAAGAATTTGTTTGTGTTAAAATACATATACTTGTATATGTTTATATTGTTTAATCTCAATTAAAAAACACAATGCATTTAATATAAATAAAATCGTTATATATAAATTTTCGTATTTAAAAATTTGAGATATATAATTATGGTAAGTTTAGGTAATAAGAATAAGTAATATATGGAACTCAAATTGTTTGGTAGATGGATAATATAATTAAATAAATAAAAAATAAAAAACTGCGAATAATTGTGAGCTTGACACATAAGCACCAAAATTTATTGGTTCTTTTAATATATATAGAGTATATAACATGCATCTTCAAAATTTATTCGCTATAAAATACTCCCTATGTTTCATATTAGATAGGGATGTTTTAGAGTTTTTTTATTTTGTTTTATTATATAAGATAGTTTACAAGTTTCAATGCAAACTTTAAATGTATTTGATATTTTGTGACGATTTTATTATGCAGTCTTTTTTGTAATCTGTTAATTTTCTAAAAATTAAATATTAAATAATAGTTTAAAAAATTAAACTATATGCTTTTAACTAAAACATCATATATTTTGAAACAGAGAGGGTAATAAATATGCATGTCGTATGCTTTATTGTAATCGAAAACGTGTAATTGAAATGCCATAATCCTTTTAATGCACTCACATGTAGCTAGCTATTTGTTTAAAAATGTTCTTTATCTTCAGACATTGAAAGATTCTTTTAGCTGTTAAGTGATATTTTTAACACATTTATAAGTTTCTTTTGTTTGTTTTATCGAGTCGTTTAGTCGAGAACAAGTCATTTTAGATGTCTTTTAGTGTTTTCAGGATTTTGGACCTACGGAACAGAAGTGGAATTTTTAAGGAACAAATGGACCAAAAAGCGTCAAAAGAAGAGATGTTCTATTAAGAGGCCTGATTGGTGAAGAGATCAAACCTATCGGTTATCAAGACGTCGCCGCTCAGTTGGGCCTTTGTAAACCTTCCCTTTTCTTCTTTTTAGGGCTGAGTCTCAATCTTTATATAAACTTTTTGTTTCTGTAGCCGCATGACATACTTTACTTTTCGATTTTTTATAGTCTAAGGTGTTCTTCTCTTGTTCATCTTCTTTA